ACGTTGCTGGGCCTCATTCACTAATAACTTCTTCCAAGTTTCAGTAAACTTTGTTCTTAAGAAGCTTTCTAAGAAAACCCTTTGTCAGATTCATGACACGTTCTCAAACTGCAGACTTGTTCGCTCAGATGTTCTTCTATGTCGATGCAGACCACGTGGTCGTAAGCTGAAACCGTGTTGGTTTTTCCTAATTAGCATTGTAAACGCCCACCAATGCCCATAACAGGTAATGAGGCTGCCGAGAAATCTGAACGTAAAGTTGTTATCTTTTGTTGTCAGCAGTGAACATAAAGTACACAAACAACGATACACACATGTTCACTGTGGTCATTCGGAACTTTTCAAGACTCTTCGTGCATTTGATTTTCTCCTGCAGGGATCTCGTTCACGCCAAAGGAAGTGGGCGAACATGTGGTCAGCGTGAAGAAGAACGGGAAACATGTGACCAACAGCCCCTTTAAGATCATGGTGGGTCAGTCTGAGATCGGAGACGCCAGTAAGGTGAAGGTCTTCGGTCAGGGGCTGCTGGAGGGACACACCTTCGAGGTGTCCGAGTTCATCGTGGACACCAGGAACGCAGGTGACCAGTCAAACCTTGTTCCAGATGTTTGCTCACGTCCACTGGTCCAAGGTTCACTGGAGCTGTCAGTCATTGTCTTCTTCTGTGTCTCGCAGGTTACGGAGGTCTGGGTCTGTCCATCGAGGGTCCCAGTAAAGTGGACATTAACTGTGAGGACGTGGAGGACGGAACCTGTAAAGTCACCTACTGTCCCACGGAACCTGGAAACTACATCATCAACATCAAGTTCGCCGATCAACACGTTCCAGGTACAGACGGAGCGATGACGTCTCCATGGAAACGTACCGGTGTCACTTCTGTGTAATTTACAAAGAAGCTTCAACTTTCTCTGTTTCCAGGTTGACGTTGGTTTAAACTCAACTTTTTGAGTTCTTCAAACTTTTCTTCATTGAAATATTTCTCCTCAGATTCAGTTTGAAATCCTTGTTTATTTTCCGGACATGAGAACTTTGATTGACAGGTGAAGTGTGAACTTTCCCGACAGGAAGTCCGTTCACAGTGAAGATGTTTGGCGAGGGGCGGATGAAGGAGAGCATCACCAGGAAACGCCAGGCGTCCTCCATCGCCACCGTCGGCAGCACCTGTGACCTCAACCTGAAAATACCAGGTGAGCTGTGACATCATCGCCTCCTCTTCCTATCTGTAACCTGTGCACTCCGTCTCTTCCTCCTCTTCACCTCCTTCTGTTTGCTCCTCGTTTCCTCGACGCTGCCTCCTGCTGGTCACAGGGAACTGGTTTCAGATGGTGTCGAACCAGGAGCATCTGACGCAGACGTTCACCCGCAGCAGTCACACGTACACTCGCACCGAGAGGACGGAGATCAGCAAAACCCGAGGAGGAGAGACAAAGAGGGAGGTCCGTGTGGAGGAGAGCACGCAGGTTGGAAGAGACCCCTTCAGAGACGTGTTCGGAGACTTCCTGGGACGCGAGAGTCTGAGCGGGTTCAGCGGCAGCAGACCGCCACTGCAGGACGGTGTGTGTGTGTGTGTGTGTGTGTGTGTGTGTG